TCAGAACGCTTTCAAGTGCATAGACTACAAAGCACAGGATTATTAAGAAACCAATTATGTTGAAATGCATTATCAAAAGAGTAATAAAACAAATGTCTAAAATAACAATGTATGTTCTTCTTTAATAATGCATTGAGTAAGCAATCTGCAGACCCGCTCTGGGTCCGCCGCCGCCCGCCGCCCGCCGCCCGCCGGCCGCGGGGCGCACAGCGAGTCAGAGCGCGGCCGCGCGGGGCTCCATGCCGGCCGGCGCGCCGCCGCCGTTGGGGCGCATGGCTCAGGAGGGGCGGCCCGCGGGGGCGCACATCCTCCGGCCGGGGCGCGGGGCTCGCGGCCCCCTCCGGGGGCGACACAGCGAAGGCGGCGCGAGGCGGGGCGTGTTCCGGCGCTGTCGCCGCGCGACTAGGGTCTGAGGAGCCGCGGCTTCGCCCTCCGGGGCGGCGAGGAAGGAGGCCGGCGGCGCCGCCGCGCACGGTGCGTGTCTCGCGGCGCGCGGCTCTTGCCCCCAGCCGGAGCTCCGCGCCGAGGGGGCGGCGCTGCCTGGGGCTTTAGGCGACGGCGACGCGTGCGGACGCGGGTCCCCTCGGCGCGCCGCCGGATCCGGGGGCTCTGCCGCCGATTGGCGCAGCTCGAGTTGCCCGGGGGCTCCGTCTGAGCGCTCGCTCTGCAGACGGCTGCGACCCGGAGGCTGGCGGGAGGCGGGCACGGGAGGCGCGCGGGGCGAGGGCGCCGTGGAGCGCGGGGCGTGGGGACGCGCGGCGGCGGCGCCGCGCCGAGGAGGCGCGCGGGGATCCCGGGGCCCCGCCGCCCGCGCCCACCGCGCCCGCCGCAGAGCCGCCCGCGCTGCTCGGCCGCCTCCCTCCTCGCGTCTGCCGCTCCGCGCGCTCGCCCCCGCCTCTCCGAGTCGGTCCCAACTCCGCCCGCCCGGCCCGGCTCACGTCACCCGCCTTCCCCGCCCCTCGAACCGGAGCCCGAGCCCCCGGCCCGGCCCTGGCTCCCGCTCGCCGCCCCGCCTCGCCGAAAGGGACTGTGCCTGGCCTGGGCGACACCGCAGGCGGGGCTGTGTCCGCCCCTTCCCCATCCCTGGCCTCGTCCGTGTCCCCACCTTGGGAAAGGCTAGAGAGAGGCCGCAGGCTCCGATTGGACCGCCGGGCACCGCCGGATGGTGTTGCCAGGGTAACCGGCTGGCATGCGAAGCAGGTCGGGGTTCAGACCCGGTTACGGGTGCGTCCCGTGGACCCGGAGAGCGGGTCTGGGGAGCGGACGTTCCCGAGGAAGGACTGGGACGGGCCGCATGGAGCGGGGGCTACGCGAAAAGTTTCCTCCCGGAGGAGCTGCGCGTCGCAGGAGCGTCTGTCCGGGGTCCTCTGCGGGGGATTCTGCTCTGCCCGCCGCGTGGGCCCCTACCCCGGGCCCTGGCCGGTGAAGTCTCTGCGTCCCGGGGCCTGATCTTCAGCGCTTCTGCCCCGAACCCAGCGCTGTCCTGTGTCCCGGTTGTCCACAGCACGGGGCTGAGCGGCCAGCAGCCTCCTTGCTCGGCCGCAGCTGCTGCCTGGTCTGGCCCTCGCTCAGGAGTCACTGGAAAGTTCCAGGCACCTCGGCCTCCCAGACTCTCCGCCAGCGTGTCCCCGCCCCCACCCCCAACCAGGACTCCTCCTTGCCCACCGGGTTAGGCTGTATTCGCCAGGCAGGAGTAACGGAGCAAAGGCGCTGGCTGGGGACCTTTCCACTGAGAAAGTGACATAGGTTAGGATCCTCGGCCGACTCCCTGAGAAACCCAGACAAAGCCCAGTGCGCACCCGGGCCTTGGAAATCGCGCTGGTGCAGCCTCCTGGGTGAACAGGGGAGCCAGGTCCAGGAGGGGGGAGAGGCTACGACCCCCTGCACAGGTGCTTCACCCAGGTAAGCTCTGGAGTCGCCCCAGCGCAGGTGAGCGCAGTGAGGCATCGCGGTGAGGGGTAGCTGGTGGGTGGCAGAGCCAGGGGACCATGGCTGGCCTTTAGTTCCTGGACATGTGCGGCAGGTCCACTGTGCCCAGGCAGGAGCGTGGGGACACCTGCTTCTCCAGGTGCGGGGACAGGGGCAGTGAAGCATGGTTGCAAGCGTGCCAGCGTGACGTGGGTAGGTCACGGGCCACTGCTTACTCCGGTGGGGCCCCGGCCACACTGTCTAACCTCTCTCACCCTCAGTTTCCCCATCTGTGGGATGGTTCCATGGTCCCTGCCACGCAGGGGCTTTGTGAGGAGTGAGAAGGCCTCACTGGCAGGTAACTGTTAGGCTCTGTGAGCTGGTCGGGGATCCAGCAGGGTGGGCCATTGCCCGCCTGGCCACTCGTGGGTCATCCTCCCCTGGATCCCGGGGATGTGAGGGCCCATCCCATCCAGAGGCGAGACTGGGAGGTCCTGGAACCACGTGTGGCCCAGGTAGCAGCAGGGAAGGGTTCCCCGCACTGCTGCCACCTAGCGGGGAGAATCGGGAGTGCAGCGGGGGAGGGCCTTCCAACTCCGAAACAGCCCTGCGGGAGGGGGCAGGTGGGCTGGAGGTGCCCCGTCTGTTCTAGGAAGCCCTTCCCCAGCCTCGTGGACGCCGGCTGACCTCTCTCAGAACGCTTTCAAGTGCATAGACTACAAAGCACAGGATTATTAAGAAACCAATTATGTTGAAATGCATTATCAAAAGAGTAATAAAACAAATGTCTAAAATAACAATGTATGTTCTTCTTTAATAATGCATTGAGTAAGCAATCTGCAGACCCCAAATCGCCACACTTTTGATGTTGAGATATGCGGCAGTACTTTGAGGTACCTGCGGCCATGGTAGTGGAAGATGAAAATGCCTGTGTGATGTTTGGCGGTCACAGGTGCTGTGCTAGGCTGTGTTCTGTTACCTGCATTCATAACGAAGGGAAATGCTGCATTTCTGTTAGGGTTAGAAAAGATAAAGATGCCCATTTTTCCCCATTCAAGTTTAAAGACCCCTTGAATTTTATCCACGTCCCCTGGGGGGTCCGTGGGCTAATAAGATAGAAAAAGGAAGTGTTTTCTGAAAACTGAGGTGGGAATAAGAGGGTAGAAGTCCCGGGGTGGGGGGGGGAGGGTGTCAGAGCCCAAAGACCGCACCGATGCCGCTTCAATCTCTGCAGGGAGAGGCTGACCTCCGCCCCACCCAGCCTGGAAATTATGATCTGGGACCAGGCACACTGATTTCTTCTCTTCCTAGGGTGGCTCAAGTCCAACTCTCTCCAAGGAGAGCATCCACTTCTGATGTTGTTTGTTTTCATTTTATCCCTAGATGAAAGAAATCATTGTCATGTTTTACATACAGTAAAACAACAAAACCACGACTTATCTTTTGCCGTTTATGTAACTGGTTTCCTATACTTCGATGCGTCTCACATTTCCGACCTGTTCATTCTTCTCCCCTTGGGAATTAGGAGGGTGGATGTGTCACCCCCAACACACACGCCCCACACACCTGCCAGGTTCAGCCTGTACAGATGGAATCTTTTCAGATACACCTGCTGGGGAAAGTTCTTCTGGACCCTCGCCAATTCTGGCCCGTTGTCCCTGCTGGGAGAACCCCGGCCCTGGAACCACCAGAGCCACCGGCCCTGGCCTTGCTGTGTCCTCACCTGGTCGCTTTCTCCGCTTTCCCAGCAGAGGCTGGGCAGCCCCCGCAGGGGGCCTCTTTGAAGCTCTCCTGGGCCATTTATCTAATGGCCTTCACAGACTTGACTATTTTTAAAACCCATCCAAAGCCAAATTGAGCTGCCATTGTTCATTTCTCTCCCAAGGAGGTAAATGTGTCTTAACCATGACATTTGATTAAGTAGCTAAGTTTGTGATTTTAAACGGAAGGGAAAATGCTGATTAAAATTATGATAAGTTTCTTGAAAGCATTCACACTCCACATCTCCTCCCCCTCCCCTGCCCTGCCGTCTCCCCAGACCCAGTAAAACTTGCGGGTGGCTCAGCATGGGGGTGGGGGGGCTGACTCAATGTCACTTTTCCTTCTCCGGGGAGGTTACGCGCTGTAGACTTTGGAATTCCTCCCCCTGGCATCGGACTTGTTCCCTGGGTGAGGCTGCACACAGCTGCACACCCCAGCCAAGCGCAGGGCACAACATGACTCACAGGACAATCACACGGCAGCCCGGGGCCAGCCAGCAGAGACAACACCGCAGGGTCTCGGCTGCCTGTCAAAATGTACTGTGCATCCCAGGGGGAAGTGGGGACCCCTCAGCTTGCCCAGCACAGACGGAAAGAGGGTCGCCGCTGAATGATTTGTCTTGGCCCAGGACAGAGAAAAACTCATTTCTAGGCTTTTATAGACTCTCCGTGTTGATAGTTTTGCCTCTTCTATTTAGATGGGGAAGGATGGAGAGAAAGAGGATAATTTGCTTTGCAAAACCAAGGGACACAATTTGAAAGCAGTTTCTTGGCATTGCAGGGTTGGGAGGTTGGGGAGCATGAAGTCGGAAGAGGGGAGCGTCCACGGTGGGCAGAGGCGTGCAGGGGCCCGCGGTGCCCAGGTGAGTCCTTTCGCTCTCTCGCAACTGCGAGCCGGGCCAGCCTCGCAGGCCCCTGTCTTGCGTGCAGTCCTGCTCCACTTCCCCCAGCCCTCCAGGGTGCCCCACTCCTGGAGTGCTGGGGAGACGGAAGGCCCGTCTCTGCTGTGGGGCAGCCTGGGGGAGGATGACAGTGGCCGGAGGAGCTGGGAGGAGGAACTGGGACGTGGCGACTAGCTCGGGAGGAGATTTAGGGAAAACCCCCTTCCTTCCTCATATTCTAGAAGACTCTGGGCCTTGGAACAGGGCAGGTGAGGATGCCCGACGGTTCTCAGCATGGGGCTCGAGACAAAGTATCTGGATGTTGAGAAAAGGGGGAATCGGAGACAGAGAGAGGTCAGACAGTCGGTCACGTGCA